GGTGGATACCCAGTTTTTCCAGCACCGTTTACTGAAGAGGTTTTCCTTTTCCCAATGGATTGACTGATATCCTTTTTGGAATTGCATTAAACATGTAGATTAATTTGGGTAGAATTGCCATTTTGATTATGTTAATTCTTCTAATCCAGAAGCATGGGATGTCCTTCCACTTTTTTATGTCACTTTCAATCTCTTTTTTAAGATTTTCATAGTTTTCTTTATAAAGGTCTTTGACTGTCTTAGTTAGGTTTATCCCTAGGTATCTTATACATCTTGTGGCTATGGTAGAACTTCAGCTCTACTTCGTTCAACTTATTGTTCATATATAGAAATGCTATAGATTTTTGGATATTGATTTTGTATCCTGCCACTTTACTGTATTCACTTATTACTTCTAGGAGTTTTTTTTCATGGAGACTTTTGGGTCTTCTAAGTATACCATCATGTCATCTGCGAATAAAGATATTTTCAACTCTTCTTTGCCTATCCGAATGCCTTTTATATTGTTCTCTTCTCTCATTGCATTAGCTAAGACTTCCAGTACTATATTAAAGAGCAGTGGAGAAAGTGGGCAGCCTTGCCTAGTACCCAATCTTATTGAGGATCTTAATTATAAAAGGATGTTGTATTTTATCAAATGCTTTCTCCACATCAATTGAAATGATAATATGGTTTTTATCTTTCTTTCTGTTAATGTCACCTTGCCATTTCTCATTCTCCTCCCACACTGTCTGTGATATCTGCTGTTGCTTTCCATACCTCTTTTTTTTTTCACATTTTATTGATGTACACAGAATTTTAATAAAATGCTTTCAATAGGAAGTTTAGCTGATATATATACATGCATGTGAACATATGTCTGACTTTAGGCATAAAACTCTGTGAGTAGAATGAACATACTACAGAGTAGCATCTAGCCAAGGTTCTATAGCTTACTATGGTCCTTAAATAGGTATTTTTTAAATGTATTTTTAAATTTCAAGATAAGCAGTTTTAGCTTTAATAAATTAAAATCACAAAATGATTAGAGAAATTTGCTTAAAACTTAAAGCCAGGAAAAAGGTTAGGATTCTATTTAAATAGTAGGTAGATGAACCTATCAACAACTCAAGAGAAGACAAAAAGCCTTAAATCTGGAAAACACAGTATAGGAGAAAATCACTCATGTTTTAGTCAAAAGTCATAAATTCCATTTTACCAGGTTAATCTCATGTAATTATTCTCTCTTCTGTTTGGTTGGAGTTTTCTGTTTAAAGTCTGGCAGTTAACATTCAACTCTGGACTTGTCTCTACCATTAAGTTTGCCATTTTCTTGGTTGTTCTTTGGACTCTGATTTCTGTGTATCTGTCTTTAGTTTTCCTGGTATAGCACTCCTTTCTTAACTTCTTGGAGACCTGGACTGGTGTTTGTAAATTCTTTCAGGTTTTGTTTATCTGAGAATGTTTTTGTCTTTTCTTCCCAATGAAGAGTAATCTTGCCATGTATGGAATTCTTGGTTGAAATTGTTTTTTACTCAACACTTCCATTCTTTCCTTGCTCACATCGTTTCCATGAGAGGTCTGCTGTTAGCCTGATAGAATATCCTTTATAAGTAATGAACTTTCTCTCCTGCCAATTTTAGATTCTTTTCTTTGTGGTTTTGGTCAATCTGGGCATGATGTGCCTTGGAGAAGATCTTCTTGGGTTGATTCTATTAAGGATCCTTCATATTTCTTGGGTCTGGATATTTGAATGTCTCTCCAGGTTTGGAAGGTTTTCTTGCAGGATTTCATGGAAGAGATTATCAATGCCCTTATTAGTTTCTTCACCTTCTGGGATACTGATTATCTAGATGTTTTGATATTTATTGGTATCTAATATTTCTCGTATATTATTTTCATTTTGTTGGGTTATTTTCTCAATCTTTTTGGTGAATTTTTCTAGGACAGAGGTTCTCTCTTCATCTGAGAATTGATCTTCTGCATGATCTAACCTGCTTTTAATACTTTTAAGAGAGATTTTATTTCCTTTATCATAGTCTTCACCTCTGTCAGTTCTGTTTGATTCTTTTTTATGGTGTATATTTCCTTTCAATTTGTGCAAGAACTTTTGTACATTCTGGATCTCATTGAGTCTCTTCTCCTGCATCTTCTGGAGTTCATTGTCTCTCTTCTCTTGCATCTCTGTTAGCTTTGTCGCTATGAATATTCTAAATTCTTTATCTGACATTTTCAGTTTCCATTGTATAGTCTGTGCATGAGGAGTTGTTCTTTTCCCTTTTGGGAGAGATTTTTTGTTTGTTTGTTTCTCATATTTCTTGTGCCTCTGTGGTGGTTTTTGATCATCTGATGAATTATACATTTCTTCCTAATTTCTTGAAGTTCAGTCTGAGCGTGCAGAGGCATGCAAGAGGAGATGATATACAATCTCACTGCAGTTTCATTTTTCTCCCTTTGTGCAGCAGATTTCCTTTAGCATTTCTTACAGTGCAAGACTGCAGGCAACATTTTTTTTTTTCAGTTTTAGTATATCTGAAAGCAACCAGAGGGAAAATTGCTTACATCCAGAATCATTTTCAAGAACAATGATATTAATGGAAGTAGAGTTCTCATCAAGAACAAATAGAAAGATAGTAGACAGGAAACATAGTTAATTCATTTTTATGAAGAAATTATGAAATTAATAGGTTTTTCTTCTGTAACTGCTGTGCTAAGGATTAGTAACAAGAATACTATTTATTTTTTCCCATAAATTGGAAAATAAATGAAATAGCTTTATAAAGATATTCATGGCTTAGATGACGTTTTACTTACGTGTATATAGTGTTTTAACTGCTTAAAACATTGATTTCAGATTTATACACATCTTTGAAGTCCTTGGTCTCAGGTGACTATGATGTAAACTTTTTAATTTGTTTTAAATAAAATAATCCATTTAAAACTTTTTTCATAGGGTCTGTGCATACACCAGAGAGAGACAAAGAGAGAGGGAGAGGGAGAAAGCACCCTCAATGGGGCATGGTCATGCCACAATTCCTTCCCCTGTATTTCTCCATCCTGTTGGGATTTTGGGCACATATGTGCATTTAGTCAGTGTGTTTTTCAAGTCATTGGTACTGAAATTGTGCAGTTGGCCATGTGGTATCCAGCTCCGTTAACCACCATGCCACAGAGCTGGCCCAATAAATATATTTTAAATATATTTTATTATGTTTTATTTTGATTTCTGTGACAAGAAAATTGCTAAATGCACATGCACTTTCTAGAGAGAGAGAGAGAGGGAAAGGGAAAGGGAGAAAGCACTCCCCATAAGGAATGGTCATGTTGCAGTCCCTTCTCCTCCATTCTCCCTCCTTTCAGGACATGCATAGGCTGCTAGTATGTTTTCAAACCACTGGGGCTGGGACTTGAACCAAGTGGGCAGCCACGTCTGATCCAATTTTCATAACCACCAGACCATGGGCTGGCCTGATTTACATGATATTTTACTTTGCATTTTATTTTATTTTACTAATATTTGCATAGTGCTCATTCAGTGTGCCATAAAATTAAGTAACTTGCTCAGAGATGCTTAGCTAGTAAGTAGCTAGGAAGGCTGACTCTAGAGTCTGTGGTCCTTATACATTTGTAATTACATCTCTTTTAATATTGAGTTGCCTGGAAAGTCCTGATGTATTTTTGCATAGAAAAACAAAAATATGACATAACTTTCCTGACAGCCCAGTACATTTTGTCAATTAGTTTTCTCTTTTTTCTCTCTGTCTCTCTCAGGTCAAATTAAAAAATAACAATAATAAATAAAATAATTCTTCAAAAATTATCTCTTTATTTATTTTTTAAGAGACAGATTTTTGCTGGGGCTGGCAGGTGGCATGATGGTTAAGGGCTCTGGACTCCCACATGGTCGACCGCGGTTCGAGTCCCGGACCTGCCAGCCTGCTTTCCTGCCTTCTCTCTCTCTCTCACTCTGTCCCTTTCTGGTCAAATAAAATAAATAAATAAATAAAGTTAAACAAAAATCATTCTTAAAAAAAGACACAGATTTTGCTATAAGGCACATGTGCTTGCTGGAGAGACAGAGAGATAGGAAGTAGGAAATCACCTCCCAGGATGGATGGCCATGCTACAGTTCCTTTTTGCCCATTCTCCTCTTGAGATCTTGGGCATGTATGCACATGCATCTGGCTTGAGGTTTAAGCCACCAGGTCTGGGACTTGAACTAGTCAACCATGTGGGAGTCCACTGATATAACTATTACTCCATCTGCTGGTTCCAAAAAAATTTATATATTCATTTAAAATGAATGTTTTAAGTTATAAATAGTATCTATTTGCAGTTGAAAATTTAAAACCACACAATTTCCCATCGTCTGTTCCCTAACTTCAATCCACTAGAAGTATAAAGACTATCCACTATTTCATCTACATTCTTTTTTTTTTTTTTTAAATTGCCACAGGGTATGTGTACATGCCAGGGAGAGACAGAGAGAAGGAGAAAGAACCCCCCAGTGAGGCCAGATCATAATGCCAACTCTTTTTCCCATTTCTCTGTCTTGGGATTTGGGGCAAATAGACACATGTGCCCTGCATATTTTTCAAGCCTCTGGGGTGGGACTCAGACTGCAGTTGGCTGTGTGTGATCTGGTTCCCTTAACCAGCTATGGGATTAATTTGCCATTCTCTTTTTTTTTTTAAGTTTATTTCTTTCTTTCATGAGAGAGAGGCAGAGAAAGGCGGAGATATACAGAGAGACAGACACCTTCAATAGGTTCTTTATGCTATAGTCCTCCCTGGCTTGGAACATGGACATGCTACACCAGTCTCTTATGCTCAGGGAGATCTGGGATGCAAACTCAGGACCTTTCCCATGTGGATCCAGTTGTATTACTGTCATGTCACTTCTTGGCACTCTCATCTGCCATTCTTATTCTCCAGATTTGACTATTACTAACACTTTGTAAGGTTTATTTTTTTATGAAGAAATCTAACTTCATACTTTTTTTTTTTTTTTTTCGGATGAAGCTGTGAGTTCTTTGGAATTGTGAATATTCTTTTGAAGTATGGAGCCCAATTAAATGAACTTCATTTGGCATACTGCCTAAAATATGAGAAGTTTTCAGTATTTCGCCACTTTTTGAAGAAAGGTTGTGAATTGACAGCATGGAGCCATACATCTGAATTTATAAGTTATGCAGTTAAAGCACAAGCAAAATATAAGGAATGGTTGCCATATCTCCTACTTTCTGGATTTGACCCACTGACGCTACTATGCAGTTCTTGGTAAGAAATCTTTCCATAGTGGGACTTACTTTTTATGAGTGAATGTACTACCTTTAATTTTCCCTAGTTTCTTGAGATCTACTGGTGGGAAGAGGAGGTGTGTGTGTGTGAATGCGTGTGCAGTGAGTGTGATGGCTGGATTGGGGTGGAGGAATTGGCTGCAAATAGTGAGTGGAATTTAATCCAAGTCCTTGAAAAGGTAAGAGGTTCCTGGAAAGAGATAAAAGGGGACAGATGCCAGTGAACTCTTCTGAATGGAATATTTCTTCAATTCTAGCTATTTCATATTCTCCTTGTTTTTTTTTTTTTTTGCAAAGAATTATCTAATTTTATTTATTTATTTATTTATTATTAATTTAATTTGCCATAAGGTACATACATTCACCAGAGTCAGAGAGAAAGAGAGGGGATGTTAGCAAGCAAGCCACCAAGTCCAGGACTCAGACTGCAGTTGGCCTTGTGGGGGTCCAGCACCTTAATCACCACACCATCTTATGGTTTTCCTAAGATGCATATGACAGAAGAAAAAACATTGTAGCTGTTTTGAAGATTTCCGTTATCCCTAACCAAGTACATTGAGTACTCCTGTTTTACAGTATCTAGTCTATTTGGAATTTGTCTCCCTTAATAAATACTGATTGCTGAAGTATCTGAGGATATACTTGTATATATACAAGTACATATTCTTAGATACAAGGTGATTTCTCAGAAGGACTGAGAATGATTCTACGAATATTTTAAGTCAGGCATTTTCTTGGGTAAGAAGACTGCCAGCTTCCAGCCTTTGCAAAAATTGTTAGTGTCTTAAGACAGGTAATTGTAGCAGAGAGAGGAATCTTTTGGCCATATTATTCAAGTCGAATGAGAAAATATAATGAAAGTCTTCTAGAACATAGGGGACATGATATTTTATAGAATTTCAATAAAACATCTATGTGTCTTTGTTTTTATGCTTCAAAAATTACAGTCATTAAAATAAAGTTTAGACAGATATTGAGAGTTTGCGTTTCAGTAGAAAAGTGCTTCAATGGCTTATTTTAGTACTTCCTCTCAAAAGAGGCTAGTGCCGGTGGTCTGTGCTTGTAAATTTAGTTTGCGTTTCTGTGAACTCCACCTTCTGCCTGGCTTCTTCTTCTTAATGTGAAGAACAGGTCTTTAGGACCAGCTGTGATAGCTTGTGCTGGTAGATGCTGCTGCACAGCAGGCTGTTTAATTCCTGCCCACCCTGAAAGTCAGGTGTGGATGTCCATGCCTGTGGTCCCAGGTACTTACAAAGAAGGGGCAGGAGGGTCCTGACATGGCAAGACCCTGTTTAAAAGAAAATAAAGAGGCAAAGAAAAAAAAGAGGCAGGTTTTCATTTGGCAGTTTCCCAGTATTTCACCTTTTTACACCTGCTATTACATAGAATTCAGGAGTTTTTACTAAGCAGAGGTTTTATGCATAGTGAAAGCATGTCATTGTTTCTGATGCTATTTCAGATGGGTAGTTGGTAAGGGAAAACTGCTTTTCTAGTAGTTTGGACTAGTATAGAAGTGAAAGCAAAGTTGAGATCCATGTTCTGATCCCACCTTTGAATTTTTTTAATTCATTTTTTTTATTTCAAGAAAAATAGTTTTTGCTTTAATAGATCAAAATAAAAAAATGTTAAGAGAAATTTGGTTAAAACTTAAAGCCAGGAAGAAGATTAGGATTCAGTTCAAATAGTAGGTAGATAAACCTATCAACAGTTCAAGAGAAGACAAAAATCCTTAAATATGAAAATCAAAGCATTGAAGAAAATCAATAATGTGTTAGTCTAAAGTCAAAAAAAATTCTGTTTCACTAGTTCAGACTCTTGCAATTAATCTCTCTTCTATCGAATTTGGAGTGTTACTGTGGTCTGATCTTTCCATTTAAATTCTGGACGTTAACATTCAACTCCAGACTCTAACATTAGGCTGGCCATTTTCTTGGTAGTTTTTGTACTCTTATTTCTGTGTGTCCAACATTAGTCTTCTTGGTATAGCACTCCCTTCAGCACTTCTTAGAGTGCTGGTCTGATGTTGGTAAATTCTTTCAGGTTTTGTTTATCTCACAATGTTTTTGTCTTTTTGTTTTCCCATATGAAGGATAATCTTGCAGGGTATAGTATTCTTGGTTGAGATTGATTTTCACTTAACACTTTGAATATATTTTCTTATTCTTTCCTTGTTCACATTGTTTCTGATGAGAGGTCCAACGTTAGCCTGATGGGATATCTTTTGAATGTAACTCAATGATTCTCTCTTGCTTAATTTAGTATCTTGTCTTTGTGGTTTTGGTCAGTCTGGCTATGATATGCCTGGGGGAAGATATTCTTAGGTTGATTCTATATGGGGGTCCTTTGTATTTCTTGGGTCTGGATATTCGAGTGCCTCTCTAGGTTTGGAAAATTTTCTTCCAAGATTTCATGGAATAGATTATCAATGCTCTTACTAGTTTCTTCACCTTCTGGGATACTGACGATCCAGACATTTGGGCATTTAGTGGTATCTAGTATTACTTGTATGTTATTCTTATTTTGGGGGGTTATTTTCTCAGTCTTCCTGGTGAATTTTTTTAGGTCAGAGGTTCTGTCTTCTACATCTGAGATTCAGTCTTCTGCATGATCTAATCTGCTTCTGATATTTTCAGGGGGAGTTTTGATTTTCTCTGTTAACAGCCTTCATCTCTACCAATTCTGTTTGATTATTTTTTTATGATGTGTATCTCCTCTTTCAGATCATGCAAGAATTTCCTCACCTCCTGGAATTTGATGGCTCTTTTCTCCTTCATCTTCTGGGGTTCGTTTTCTCTCTTCTCTTGCATCTCTGTAAGATTTGTCACTATGAATATTTTAAATTCTTTAGCTGACATTTCCATGAGTTCCCTTGAATTCTCTGACCCCTGGCTAGATCTAGGGGGTAGGAGAGTGAAGTCTGGGCAGAGGGTCTTTGATAGTCATTATCCCCACTTTTTAATTTATAGTTTATAACAAGTTGAATCCTGTTTAGTAAATTGTGTTTATTCTTTAACCTATAGCCAATTAATAAATACCTGAACTATCAAATGCTCATTGTAACCAATCCTGCTATACCTTTTCTCTTAATTTTTGCAAAGATTTATGATAATTTTTAGAAAATTAGATGAATTATAAAGATTACTGACAGTTCATTGAGATATCTGATTTTCCAAACTTTAACTTAAAAAAAAAAATTGCCAGTGGATGCATGCACTTCCCAGAGAGAAGGAGCAAGAGAGAGAGATCTCTCCCTTCAGTGGAGCATGGTCATGCCACATTCTTTTTCTTTCATTTCTCCATCCTATCAGGATTTTTAGGCATACTTGGACTTGTGCCCAGCATGTTTTTGAAGCTTCCAGTTCTGGTATTAGACTGTGGTGGACCATGTGGGATATTTATACACAGGCTGTTTATACACAGCACTTAACTGCTAGGTTGTGGGACTGGCCCAAGACATCTCATGAGTTTTAAAGTTATTTGTATATGTAAATTTGTCTAATCACACATGCATACATGTGCATACACGCACACATGTGCATACACGTGCACACACACACAATATGAAACACTCACTATTGAGAGCTTTATTTAGTTATAACAAGGCAATTTAAATTCCCTCATCTTTTTACTTAGTGAATTTTATGATTGTATCTGTTCTGCTAGCAGCAGTTGCTCCTCTCCATCCTAGGGTTTGCTCCCTCACTGCTGTCATTAATTCAGTCCATTACGTGGGGTAGCTGTGGACAGCCCTGATAGCCTGTTTCCTTTTCCTCTTTGCCATATGTAGTCCCTTTCCCCAAGTCACCTACTTTATTCTCAACCACACTGCTTGTGTTCATCTACTGAAGCTGTTAACTCTAACTCCACATGACTCAACCTAGCACTTTCAGGCCTCATGTTCCTTTCTGGTTTCTAACTTATTTATTTCTTTAACCAAAACTTAGAATACTGCCTGATACCTAGTAAGCACTATTTTAAGTTCTTTACTGATACTAGCTAGCTCTTTTACTATAAGATGTATTGGGTTGTCAGAAAAGTCAAGACCCTTTATTATTATTTTTTTTAAAAGAGAAAGAAAGAGAGAAATCACCCCCTGGTGGGATGGCCATGCCACAATACCCTCTCCTTCATTCTCCTCATGGGATCTTGGGCACACATGCACACACACCTGGCATGAATCCTAGCCACTAGGTCCAGCACTCGGATGAATTATAAAGATTACTGACAGTTCATTGAGATATCTGATTTTCCAAACTTTAACTTAAAAAAAAAAATTGCCAGTGGATGCATGCACTTCCCAGAGAGAAGGAGCAAGAGAGAGAGATCTCTCCCTTCAGTGGAGCATGGTCATGCCACATTCTTTTTCTTTCATTTCTCCATCCTATCAGGATTTTTAGGCATACTTGGACTTGTGCCCAGCATGTTTTTGAAGCTTCCAGTTCTGGTATTAGACTGTGGTGGACCATGTGGGATATTTATACACAGGCTGTTTATACACAGCACTTAACTGCTAGGTTGTGGGACTGGCCCAAGACATCTCATGAGTTTTAAAGTTATTTGTATATGTAAATTTGTCTAATCACACATGCATACATGTGCATACACGCACACATGTGCATACACGTGCACACACACACAATATGAAACACTCACTATTGAGAGCTTTATTTAGTTATAACAAGGCAATTTAAATTCCCTCATCTTTTTACTTAGTGAATTTTATGATTGTATCTGTTCTGCTAGCAGCAGTTGCTCCTCTCCATCCTAGGGTTTGCTCCCTCACTGCTGTCATTAATTCAGTCCATTACGTGGGGTAGCTGTGGACAGCCCTGATAGCCTGTTTCCTTTTCCTCTTTGCCATATGTAGTCCCTTTCCCCAAGTCACCTACTTTATTCTCAACCACACTGCTTGTGTTCATCTACTGAAGCTGTTAACTCTAACTCCACATGACTCAACCTAGCACTTTCAGGCCTCATGTTCCTTTCTGGTTTCTAACTTATTTATTTCTTTAACCAAAACTTAGAATACTGCCTGATACCTAGTAAGCACTATTTTAAGTTCTTTACTGATACTAGCTAGCTCTTTTACTATAAGATGTATTGGGTTGTCAGAAAAGTCAAGACCCTTTATTATTATTTTTTTTAAAAGAGAAAGAAAGAGAGAAATCACCCCCTGGTGGGATGGCCATGCCACAATACCCTCTCCTTCATTCTCCTCATGGGATCTTGGGCACACATGCACACACACCTGGCATGAATCCTAGCCACTAGGTCCAGGACTCGAGCTGTGGTCTACCACATGGGAGTCCAGCAACAAAGCAAAGTGCCCAAGCTCACACAGCTAGTTAGTGATAGAGTTTAGATTTGAATCCAGGCTGTTCTGTAGTATGACTCAAGTCTGTTATTAACCATTGTGCTAGGTTACCTTAGCTTTGTGCATCCACAGGACTGAGATAGTTATATCATTTGATTTCAGATACCTTAATCCTTTGCCAAACCTGAGAGATAGTGCCATTTTTTTTCTTGTTTTTCATACTATTTAAATTAGGAAAAACTTACACAGGAGAAAAAAAATATAAGCATTGCCTCATTTTCTTTCTTCACTAGCCAATGCAATAAACTACTGATAGGGAGAAGGACTTACTTGGCTTTATTTCCTTAGAAGACTTTAAAATATACAATGGCCTTCCCCAGTTCTGATACCTACCTAATTACCACTCCTTTTCAGGTATGAATGGCTGAGAATTTTCGCATTAATAAGCCATTGGTTGTGTGCTATATTTATTGGAAATAGGAATAGGAAAGAGTTGTGTTGGAATAGGAAAGAGTTAAGAACTAGTAAACTATAAATTATCAAGTAAGTTTCAGCAGTTTGAATTGAGAATGCCAATTGTATGTATTTTACTCCTAAGGAGTAATTTTAGTCACTTTAGAGTCATTAGAAAAAATGCAATGGAAAATTTCACTTTGGCAGTGAAAATGTTTAATGCGGTCAAATTTTTGTTCACTGATCTTTTATTGAATGGATAAAGCCAGTGCTTACATTGAATATGATAAATGTTTTGTTTTCTTTGATCAAATTTACATACAGAAAACTGTTATAAGAAAATTTCTTCCGTAAAAATTCAGTATGTTGTTAAAGTAGATTTTGGTTGTTTCTTATTTATATTACATTCATGTCTGTTGTTTAATCTTTGTCATGTAAATGATAAATGCTTTTCTAGATATTACTCATCTTTGTCTTTTTTTAAAAAGGATTATTTTATTTAACTTTATTTATTATTATTTAGTATTATTATTATTAATGTTTTCCAGTTTGATCAGAGAGAGACAGAGGGAATGTGAGAAAGCAAGCCACCAGGTTCAGGACTTGAACTGCTGTTGGCCATTTGGGAGTCCAGCACCTTAAACCATCACATCACCTGCTGGCCCTGCTTGTCTTAGTCTTAAAAATATATCTGTGGATCAGCAGATGTGTAATGGTTACGTTGCTAGACTCCCATGTGGACAACTGCAGTTCAAGTCCCATATCCAACAACGTAAAGCTCATGCCATGTGTATGGGTGTCCAAAATCCTGATAGGAGAATGGAGAAGGGATTGCCGCATGGCCAGTCACCCTGTGGGATGATTTCTCGCTCTCTGTCTCTCTGTGTCACTCCGGTGAGTGCACATGCCCCGTAGCAAAAATCTCTCTCTGAAAGTAAAAGGATCTGGTTGAGTAATTGCCTGTCATAATATAATCTACAAACTTGAAATTCTTTTTCAACTTTAAATACAAGACTTAGTCTCCCTTCTCTTGGAATGTAATGGGAGAATAATGGAAGGCAAATGCTATCTATACATTTAATTGATTAACCACCACTTGTTTAAGATAGAACTGCCTTGTATAATGTAATGGTCAGTGTAGTACAGTAACTGTACATTTCTAGTGGCATCATCAATGTTGATAAACTAAACTCACCATTATATTAAGCAGAGCTGTGCAAACAAACATTAACTTCTCATGTATGTGTTCAGAATACTGCATAAAGATGACTTGTTCAGTGACAGTGAGACCTACAGGACATTAAGGCAGAAAAATGAAACCATTAGTAAAGAAATTTTAAAAAGAAACCATTAAAAAAATGAAATCATAAGAAATCAGAACCAAGTAACCTTTTAGTGTAGGACTCCTAGAAAACCTGCTAAACTATGATTTCACTGGTAGCTCATTGAAAAGTAGCCCAAGAGTAAAATGTTTTCTCAAGACATTCGTGCTATTCTGTTAAGTTCTTCCTTAGGTGTTTGCATATTGAGCAATTAAGAATTTGGGAAAAGTGGAACCAGCAGGTGGCATGTTGGTTAAGGGCGCTGGACTCCCAAATGGCTGACTGCAGTTCAAGTTATGGACCTGGCAGCTTGCTTTCTTACTTTCCCTTTTTTTTCTCTCTCTTTCTCTTTCTTTTTTTTTTTTTTTTTTTTTTGAAGAGGTTTTTGCTATAGCGTGCGTGCGCTCACCAGACAGACAGAGAGAGACAGAGAGATAGAAAGCAAGAAATCACCCCCGAGGGGGGATGGCCATGCTGTAATCCCTTCTCCTCCATTCTCCACTCGGGATCTTGGGCACACACGCACACGTGCCCGGTGTGAGTTAAGCCACCGGGTTCAGGGCTTGAACCATGGTCAACTACGTGGGAGTCCAGCGACATAGCCATTATGCTAACTGCTGGGCCCTCTCTCTCTTTCTTTCTCTGGTCAAATTAAAAAAAAAAAAAAGATAATAACAAATAAAATCAAATAAATAAATATTTTTTAAAAAGAAGATTTTGGGAAAAGTGGAGAGGCCAGCAGATGGCATAATGGTTACATTGCTGGACTCTCATGTGGCCGTCTACAGTTCGAGTCCTGGACCCGGTTGCTTGAAAATCATGCCAGGTGTGTGTGTGTGTGTGTGTGTGTGTGTGTGTGTGTGTGTGTGTGTTTGCCCAAGATACCAGGAGAAGGGATTGCAGGTTGACCGTTCCCCTTGGGGGCTGATTTCTCACTTTCCCTCTGTGCCTGTCTGTCTCTCTCTCCTGCGAGCACATGTCCCCTAAGGCAAAAAAAACCTCTCAGGAAGAAAAAAAAGAATTTGGGAAATAATTGTCGTACTTTGTAATCACTCATTTTAAGAGTACATTTTATTATTATTTTTTAGTGCAGTCCCTTCTCCATTCTCCTCTTGGGATCTTGGGCATGTATGCACATGTGCCTGGAGTAAGTTTTAAGCCACCAGGTCTGGGACTCAAACCATGGTCGACTACGTGGGAATCCAGTTATGTAACCATTATACCATCTGCTGGTCCCAGATTTATTATTTTTAACCTAGGTCATGTGGTTTGATCATTGCCTGAGTCCACTGATTGTTTTCATCTTATTGGAGTATCAAATGTAGCTGGGCACACTGATTCATCTCATTGGCTATATTAAATGTGGCTTTATCAATTAGACATCTCCCACTAATCTGCCTACATTACATTGGACAGGGAACTTTCTACTTTGGTTGTTTTTCACTATCTAGCCACATGGGCAGATATTCCAGTTCCCTTATCCTCTTACATTTGCTAGCTTTCTCCTGCCTCATTTCCCCCCTGAGAGGCCTGATCCCCATAAATCTTTTTGGGGAGCTAAAGGTGGATGGTCTGTCTTCTGTAACTGCTTCATGCTGGAAAGGGGCATTGACCATAGCTATTGGGGATCATGGAACTCTCACCCTATACTTTCAATTCACAAATAGTTGTCTTTGAGATGAGAAGTTTAGAGTAGTGCTCAGTTTTTTTTTCTTCTGTTTCTTTTCCGCCTTCAGTTGTTCAATAATGTCTTTAAGAAAAGTGACCTTGAGAAAGAATTTCTGTTTTTTGTAGTAATTACCTGAAGCACTAATCATTTTGTTTTTTCTTTAAATAATGTGATGACAAGGGAGTATCTAATTGAGAATGGAATGGATAATCTTACTAGGATTCACAGTTCTCATTAAACTTTGACTGAATTTTGAAATTATAATGTTACAAAGCCTCCTGAAATTATAATAACTAAAGTTTTTTTTCTTTTTTTTTAATTTATATTATCATCATAATCTTCTTTATATTACATTGGATTACATATAACTTTACATTGACTTCCATTGCTTTTTCAAAAGGGAATGCCATGCATGTCAGTCAATACAGAGACATCAATCTCCCCGCTTTATCATTCAATGTCTTTTCCATGCATTTCCCAATAATTATTATTATTATAATTTTTTAAAACAGTCAATCACTATTTCTCATTTTGCTTGTTAAAAGACTTCACCCATCATGAAATACTTCCCAGACCAGTCCAGTTGAGAATACTATACACGTCATCATCAACAGATAATAAACCATATCTGTTTCTCACTAACATCCTCTCTATTGTTCACTTGCTATCTTTCTCTATCCTCTTCTCTCTTTTTTTAAATTTTTTTTATAGTTTATTTTTTATTATAATTTTTTTCCCATCACAACACACAAATGAATTTTCCATCCAAAATACACTGTGCATTGGCTCAATCAAGCACGTCAACATATATGTTCTCAGCAAATAATTTCCCAATTCCTGTGTCCTGCATACCTTGCCTTTTGTTTTACCATCCTAGATTCCCCATCCCCCTCCCTCTGTTATGACCCATCCTCCTCCCACATTGTCCCTGGCATCCACGATTGCCCTCCGTGCCTCACCCCTCCCCAAATGATCTGTCAGTGAACTTAATTAGTCTAAGTCTCTCCAATAGTTATCACAGCTGACACATGCCTCTACATGAACTCAAGTCTGACTTTAGGCCTAAACCCCATTGGGTAAAAAGAGCATACTATAAAGTAGAACCCAACTGGGCCCATACCGCTCACGGCAGCCATCAAATATCCATTTTTTTTTAAATGGTACAAATAGTTTTACCTTTTTTTTT